CACTTTCACTCGAAATGGAAGTAAGCTTAACAATTATGAAACAAGAGATTCCTCGAAACCCAACTTTCCTAAAATTAGTGTCGTCATCTAACTTGCATCCTTTGGGAACCCATGTTTCCTTATAGAGCTCCAAGAAGAGCTTCTTCGATATTTATTCTCAGGCATTCAGGCATTTCAGATTGCAAATTTGACTTTTTCCCATTTATGGGCAAACGACCAAGGATAGTAAACTGCTGAAAACTGTTACGACAACGCAAGGACGTTGGAGGAATAATTCGGTGCGTACTAGGTAACGGAGCTGTTTGAAGGTTTATGGAGTTTATTCTAATATCAATTAGTATAATGTTTTTAAATTAAACTAAAAATAACTAATGATACACAGTCTGATCGCCATCATTTGGCCTTTCAACGCAAGCCATTGTAATGAGTGCGACTAGACCAATTTACATATCCCAAAGTTTACAGAAAATAGTTGCAATCAAATGCGACTAAAGATTCTTCAAAACATCCCTAGCATAAGCTGACTACACTATAAACGAATAGGATTCCAAGCTAAGTGGACGCTTCTTAGACAGTATCGTGATGGTTTGTTTTCGTGTGATAAGCTCTTACCATATTCAAACAGCGCAATCCAACTGCGAATACACGTTTTTACTAAAGCAGACGCAGCAAACCTTTAAAATCAGCTAATACATTTTTATAGAGATAAAGTTAAGTGCAAATATGGAGACACATTTTTTTTCTATAATAAGTAAATATAAGGCTAGGTATATACGGCGGAAATAGTTTCAGAAATAATAATAGTATCTTAAATGCAGACGCTGGCTATTAAAAAACAACTTACTACTGCTGCAAGGCGTTTTCTCTGCACACCTACTAAGGCCTTCGCCCACGCAGATTGTCGTTTGCTCGACTTTTCGAATGTTAATCCATCACCCCCTTGGAAGGAGATTACTTCAGATCCAGTAGAACCAAACTCCTGCGCGAGAGACAGATGATTTGCCTCCGAGCTTGTGGATGAATCCAACGGTGCTATATCGTGACCCCCATTAAAAGCCGACTGTCCTGCTCGAGGCAATTGAATGTGCAATACAATAAGCTTAGCCAGTCGACTAGATACATTGTTCAGATGTGCTTGCTGAATAGATTCATAGTGTTCATCTGGTTTTGGAGAGTTACTAAGGCTAACCACAGGATAATTGTGAGCCGAATCAATTGGCTCAACCAAATACTTTGATTTAGAGAAGCTAGAGTTTACTAAGCTGGACTTGATTTGGCCGAAATGAAGTAAATCAGAATAAGATACGAGTTGCTGCATGGGCTGGGACGACTGACTAATCAGAAGATGCTGAGATGTGAAAGGGAGCATCAATGATGACTTGTTGGTCCCCTGGTTGTCAGCTGAAGAAATGAGAAAGTCAGGCAAACTGGGTAGAACTGTAACAGGATACTCGCGAAGGATACAATCCTCCCAACTCTTCAAAGAAAAAATAACAATACGTAGTATGAAAATTATGGGATTGATATACGATCATAATACATGTTTTAGGATGAATATTGCCTTTTCTGTTCGCCTTATTTACTGAGGATTTTCTTTTATATGAAGATAATTTATTTAGCTACAACGAAGTCTTAAATACTATATTACCGGAGCTAAAGTAAGAATATAAGCTGAAAGAAAATTTAATTTATCCTCACACTAATCTAAGTATATGGTCAAGCACTTGACCTTGGTTTAAACCCATCTAGCGCCGTCTTTAGTTCCCACCAGTATCACGGAAAGGTTGAATGACCAGAATCCTATATCATTGCGAGCAAGTACTCCTTAAAGTTTTCAAGATAATGGTGGCCTGAATGTATCTAAGATAAATGAGAGAAAATTTATGCATATCTATGCCAGGCATTTATAAACAAAAATTAACTACCTCTCCCCTCATCTCATGCCATGGGAGGCAGGAGAGTTAATTCGGCATTCATGTTCAAGCGCGCCTTTTGATGAAATATAGGTCAGTATAAACAGGTGACAATGCGGTTCAATTGGAA